CTTCTTCTTCTTCTTCTTCTTCTTCTTCTTCTTCTTCTTCTTCTTCTTCTTCTTCTTCTTCTTCTTCTTCTTCTTCTTTCTTCTTCTTCTTCACTGTTTAGCTGTCACTTTTGGTTTTGACTGGCCTTTTTTGCACCTTTACCTTATACTACTTTTAGCTAATGCTTTAATATTTTAGCTTATGTTGACTACTTTTAAATAATCTTTTGTGCTTCAAACCAGCATTTTGCTGTTAGCTTGTGTTTTGCTTCTGTTAGCTAGTGTTTGCTATTTTGGCTAATTTGATAGTTTTAGCTTTTGTTGGCTACTTTTACATAATCTTTTGTGATTTAAACCAGCATTTTGCTAATGTTAGCTAGTGTTTTGCTTCTGTTAGCTTGTGTTTGCTACTTTTGGCTAATGTTATGCTGCTTTTAGCAAACCTTTTGTGCTCTTAGCAACCGTTTTGCTTCTTTTAATTAATGTTTGCTAGTTTTGGCTGGTGCTTTTATGCTTGTAGTTACTGTTGTGTTGGTTTTAGTTTTTATCTACTGTCGCATTACTTTTGGCTAGTATTAGCTTGCCTCTTTTTTTTCTTTAAATTTTTTGCCAAATTTTTCTACTTCATCTCTTAGCCTTTTGCTACTTTAGCTTTTAATTAACCTTTTTGTACTTATAACTCGTAGCTCTCTCTTTGCTGCCATTAGATAAACGTTTGCTACTTTGAGCTTGTTTTTGGAACTTTTAGCTCCTGTGTTTTATAACTGATTCTTGTCATTCTGCTACTTTTTGTTTTAGCCTTTAGCCATTTGCCCCTTTAGCTTTGGCTACTTATAGCTCTTTTGCTGCTTTTAGATAATGTTTTGTTACTTGGGGTTTCTAGCTACAGTTTTATCTCTTCCTATCATTAGCTAGTCTTAGCTTGTCTTTAGCTGCTTTTAGCTTGTTTTTTGCTACATTTTGTATTTTGTGTCTTAGGCTTTATTTTCTAGCATTCGGCTTCTTAAAAGCAGAATGCTTCAGCTCAGTTTTAGTGAGCTGACGTTGCTTTCTTTCTGTTTTCAAACATCCAGAATAAAACTGAAAAGTCATGTTTTCTGACAGCTTGTGCGCGCCCCCCTGCAGCCCCCCCTGCAGCCCTCCCCTGGTCTCCTGCTGGGGCAGACGGTATGTAGGTGAGGAGACCGCTGCTCTTTGATTTGATTAGCAGCCGGCAGAAACCGCAGACCTGCTGTTTTACAGAAAACAGAAGCAGCTCCACCAAGCAGAAAAACATCTGTCTGAACATGAACAACTGGATTAGTTTAAAAAGTCTTTCCAGTCATTGTTTGAAAAATAGAGTTCATAAAATGGGAATTGAAGGTTATGAATAGTTAGCATGTTACCTGTTGCAGATAGGTCTGTGAATGCTCAGTTTTTGAGTTAAACTTTTTACATCACTGATGTGAAACATTAGTTTGACACTTTCTTCTTTTTGTTTTATTAATCAGATTATTTTAAACCCCTACCTGTATTTGTTTTGCTGATGGTGTTAGAGATGTTCCTTCTTACCTCCAAACTTTAAGCTCCTCTTTAAATTTCCAATGTTTGCTCTCCTGTTGGAGCAGCAGCTGTCTGGGTCACAACGTTTGACTTATTTTTTCCACAGAGTCGTGAAGTCTGAGCCTCACTGGGAATAATCGTGCTTCAAAATGTGCCGCTGACCCTCTCCTGCCGGCTCGGCGGACGCCTGCTGGAGCAGAAGCGCACTCCGGAGGCCCCAGCAGGACTGTGACTCAGCAGAACCGCAGGCAGGTAATGAGGATCTAACACGCGGAGGATGCAGATGTTTGCAGGTCAGGTGGTAAATAAAATCTGTTCACTTGTGTGCTGACGCCTCGAGCTCATCTCCAAAGAAGCCGAACGAAGCAGAAGCAATAAAAACGAAACGGTACAAACATCACAGTGAAACAGGAAACCTACGTAGCTGTACAAATTTTTCAATTTTATGGCAGCATCACATCTAATTTTAACATCGGTCTGTAAACATCCAGGACCTGAGGAGACCAGGTCTGGTGGTTTTGGAGAAGAATGTTGTCCCGTTCTGGTCTGACTGAAAAGTCCTGGCTCTTGATTTCTGGATTTGTTTTGCTGGATGGGAGCAGATGTTTCTTCAGCATTCATGGAGGCTTCAGTGCCCATTCCAGAGGCACTAATGCACCCCTATAGCATCAGAGAGGCAGGCTTTTGAGCTGCGCACAGAACAGTTTTTGCTTGTCTCCATTTTAAACAAACTTTGTTCCAGAACAGACGATGAGTTTCTGGATGATGTTCATGTATGGCTCCCATTTTGAATGATAGAGCTTTAATCTATTTGTGAATGACACGGTGAACTGTGTTTACAATCTGTGGGGCACCAAGTGTAAAATAAAATATAAAAATAAGTGTCGCTAACACATTCTCATTATTTAGCTCACTTTGAGTGTAAAATCCTAGTAAAAAAAATCACAAACATTTTATATTTATTTAGCTCACTGTTTTTGCTAATTTTTCAAAAATATTAAATTTAAAAGTTAAATGTTATGTCTAAATGTTAAATCCTGAATCTAAATGTAAAAGTTAAATCTTAAATGTTGCAGGAAAATGAAGTTTACATTTAAGTATTTCAGAATGTAAAACAGCCTTTAGGTGCACGGCTTTTGTTATGATGTCATCGTCCTGTGACAAAAGCTACGCTAATGCTGCTAATTTTGTAATGCTGCTTAAGAAGGCACTTATATCATAAATTTGAAATGTGTTAAATAAAAACTATTTCTGTGGCCCGGATGTTTGAAGTGCAGCTCAAACACTGGCCACAACTGCAAGTTTGATGTTTTGTAGGGAAGCTAACGGCAGAGTTATCAGCACTAGTAGTATTAGCAGTGTTAGCAGCATTAGCAGGATTAGTAGCATTAGCAGCATTAGTAGCTTTAGCAGAGTCAGCAGCATTAGTAGCATTAGAAGTGTTAGCAGCATTAGCAAAATTAGCAGCAGTAGTAACATTAGCAGTGTTAGCAGCATTAGTAGCATTAGATGTGTTAGCTGAGTTAGCATCATTAGTCACGTTAACAGTGTTAGCAGCATTAGTAGCATTAACAGTTTTCAGTACCAATAGTGTTAGCAGCATTAGTAGCATTAGCAGCATTAGTTGCATTAACAGTGTTAGCCGAATTTGTAGCATTAGCAGCATTAGGGTCGTAAATATTTTTACTAGCATTAGTAGTGTTAGCAGCATTAGCAACATTAGTAGCAATAGTAGCGTTATTAGTGTTAACTGCATTAGTAGCATTAGCAGTGTTAGCAGCATTAGTAGCATTAGATGTGTTAGCTGAGTTTGCATTATTAGTCACCTTAACAGTGTTAGCAGCATTTGTAGCATTAGCAGCATTGGTATCTTTAGTAGCATTAACAGCATTAGTAGCATTAGCAGTGTTAGCAGCATTAGCGGTTACTTTTGTCATAGGATGATGACATCACAACAAAAGCCAAGCACCAACAGCGAAGGCTGCATTCCATTTTTAAATAATTAAATACAAACTTTAACACTTAGCCACAAAGTTTGCATTTAACTTTTACGTTTAGATTACGAATTTACCATTTAGACATAACATTTAAATTTAACAATTAGACATAACATTTAAATTTAACATTTAGACATAACAATTAAATTTATCATTTAGACATAACATTTAAATTTACGATTTAGACATAACATTTAAATTTAAACTAGGATTTTACACTCAGAACTAAATAATGAGCTAAATAATGAAAATGTGTGACATGTAATGTTTTCACACTTGGCGCCACAAAACAGACATCAGTGGAGGTGTTTTTGGAACCTTCATCCAAGGTTGCAGGAGAAGCAAAAACAGCTTCGACTGTTTGTGTCCTCAGAGCTGCTTTAAGACAAATGTCCTGCAGAAGTTTTGTTTTCTGACCCGTCTTCAGCAAAACATTGTCTGAGAAAGTTCCTGAAACAAGACCAAACTCTGCCCCTCCCTTCATCAGAATGAGTGAATGAGATAAGAGCAGGATTGTGCAACCTCTCTGAAGGATGCAACTTTTCATTTTCGTGCACACTCGTGTGTCATCAGTTGAGTAAATCCTGTCAAGGCGGGTCCACACACACACTCCTCGACCCCATGCCAAGACCTCCAGAGAGGCTGGCCTTTCTCCAGCTCTGAAGTAGGGGCGCAGAGGGGTGGTGGGTGTTTTACCCCAAACAAAGATTAGAGAGCAGCCTGAACTCTGTTCAAGTTACAGAGGAGCAAAAAACACAAATTGAAAACAGAAACGAGGATTCGTTTTATGTAAAACAACAGATTTTGTTTCTGTTTTTCTCCACAGATTTGTTCCCGTGTTGGACTCAACAAAAACAAAGTCGATTAAAGATTTTACATGTTGGTGCGATGAACCATATCCAGAACAGACTCGTCTTCTCTCTGAGTTCTTACGCAACAACCAGAGGTATTAATCTGTCACCACGACATGTAATTTCACAATAAAAGGTTCTCAAATTCCGGAAAAGTCCCAATATTCAGCCTCTTTACCAGAAAAAGTATTCATTCGCTGCTGAGACGTTAGGATTAAAGGGATAATTCAAATCTTTTTGTGTAAATTTTATGAACAACTCATCTCTAATCTGGATAACCTCAGTCTGGATGAATAGAGTTTATTTCTGATTAAATAAACTAAAAACTAATCTGCTTGGATAAAGTTTCTGCTTACCTGTGTGGTCATGTCTGTTAGCAAAATATCTCACAAACCACTGGGGTAAGTTTTAACAAAACTCACACAAAATATAGATCTACAGCTGATTAAAGTTTGGAATTAACCTGATTAAAGATGGCTGCCAATGTGAGCCGATTCTTAACTGACTTTTGTTGCTTTTAGCCAGTGTTTTGCTACTGTTAGCTAGTGTTTTGCTAACAGTAGCAAAATACTGGCTAACAGTAGTGTTTGCTGCTTTTGGCTAGAGTTTTGAAGTTATAGCTAGTGTGCTAGGTTTAGTTTTTGGCTACCATTTTGCTACTTCTATATTTTAGCTGGCCTTTTCTTAATTTTTGAAAATTTTTTATATTCAGCTCTTAGCTGGCTTTTTTCTACTTTAGCTTTTAACTAACCCTTTACTACTTGTATATTTTACCTCTCTCTTTGCTGCTTTTTTATAATGTTTACTTACATTTAGCTAGTGTTTTGATACTTTTTGTTCCTGTTTCTTCCTATAGTTTCATGCTTACTGCTACCATTATGCTACATTTTGCTTTTAAGTAGCCTTTAAGTACTTTTAGCTTATAGCTCTCCTTTAGCTAATTTTAGATACTGTTTTGCTACTTTGATATTACTTTGAGTTTAGGTACCGCTTTGCTTCTCTCTGCATTTAGCTAGGCTATTGCTACCTTTAGCTTTTAGCTAAATGTTTACTGTCGTACCTTGTGTTGCTACTCTTTGCTAGCATTTGGTGTCTTTTAGGTTTTAGCTAGTGTAGCCATCTTTAAAAAAAACAAAAAAGACTTTGACTCAGTCAGTTTTACAGGTATTGAGCTAAAACTTGAGGTGGTAGCTGAGAGTCATCCACAGCATGTACTCTGAGCTCTAACGGATAAAATGATGTTTCTGTTTGACAAGAAAGGAAGCGTCACGTTTGATTTTTTTAAAGTTTTATTTTCATGTTTTTTGATTAAAGCATGTTAGTAAAATACGAAGTGTTGTGACTTTCACAAAAATGCTTTAAATAATTTTGAATCATATTTATTACAAAACCTTATTTGTGGATAAGCAGTTTTTGTCAATGAGTGTGTTTTTCCGTTTCTGAGCAGAGAAAGTCGTGAATGACACAACAGAGACGAGCAGCGAGTGACCTCACTGTCAGGAATTCTGGGAATTTGTTGTTAAATGAAGCTCCATGTGTTTCCACTTCTGAGACTGGAGCAAACTGCAGAGGTGGGGTTTGTGGGAGGAAACAAGAAAACTAAACTAACTGTATTTATTTTATAGTGGCCGACATGGAGCTGATGTCTGAGAGGACTTCTGATCATGTTGGAAATTCCTGAATTAGCCAGATGAAGACAGATGTGTCCAGAGTGTCCTCTCTGTGAGACGCACGTCTTCTGCGTCCTCACTTCATTCAGCCTCCATCCGGCCTCTTCCCTTCCTCTCTTTCTCTGCTGCTGTTTATTTCTGTGTGTTTGTTCCAGGCGGGCGCGGACTCTGACCCTCAGGACGACCTCAGTGGAGGAAGAGGGTGGAGGAGAGGGACGAAGAGGAGGAGGAGGAGGAGGAGAGGCTTGTGGGAAAGAAGGAGGATCTGTCCAGGATCAGGAGAAAAGGACAGTCAAGGAGTTTGTGTTTTTTTTCTCCTGGAAGTAACTGATGGAGATGATGATCTTATGTCTGTGACATCATCATACGGTGACAAACGCAGCGGCTAACGCTGATGATGCTGCTAACACTGCTAACGCTGCTTAAGATTTTAAATTCAAAACGTGTTAATTGAAAACAGCATGGATGGTACCTGTGGTCCGGATGTTTGAAGTGTAGCTCAGACACCGGCCACAACTGCAAGTACGATGTTTGTAGGGAAGAGTTAGCAGAGTAAACAGTTGCTTTTGTCGCAAGATGATGACATCATAACAAAAGCCACGCACCAACAGCAAAGACTGCACGTGGCTGCCCGCTCTGTCCCGGCAGCACGATCTGTGCTGTCAGCTCATTTGTGCATGCGCTAAATGACAGACTTCTGTAATGTGCTCGATTTAGGACAAAATACTGTCAATAATTATTTCTATACTTAATTATAAAGGTGTTACATTATATTCAGAAAACTGTTTAAATATTGTATATATTTTGATTAATAAAATATAGATTTACTATGTGTACATATTTATTTATAATAACTTGTAAACTATTTTCTAGACAATCGTGTTATAACTCATGTTATCCTCGTTTTATTTTTTCCTGGAATAAAAATCCACAGCTGTTGCAAACGTTGTATTTTCTATAAAACTTTGCAGGCGAAGAAAGACTGAAATCCAATGAATTCTGTCAGCAGTTTAGCGAAATGCTACATGCTAAAAACAATGTTTCTGGGACGGATCGGGCAGCCACACTGCATTCCATTCAGAAGTAATTAAATGTAAACGTTAGCATTTAGCCACTACGTTTACATGTAACTCTTACATTTAGATTTAGAGTTTAACACATGACTATTCAACTGGTGGCCTGCGGGCCACATCCAGTCCACAGGTGAACAAAGTCCGGCCCGCCAATTGGTTCAATAATCTCATAAGCCCAAACCGCTGGTTTTCTACTTGGATTACTAATACAGAAACATCAGAATCTTGGCTACAAGCTGGTAAAAATCATTTCCATGAACACCCGAGACAGTTAAAACTGCAACCAGCTGAAGATAAAACAATGAAAGTGAAAATAAAATTGGTGTAAAATTTTGTAAAGTCAGGGATGTTAAAATATTTGTTTTATGTGTTATTCTTGTTTTATTATCACTATTTATACATTTATACATATGTATTGGGTTCTGTATTTTGTATTCATGATTAAGAAGCAAAATAAACTAATTCAAAGATCTTTGTAACACTTGGTTTATTTACAGAATGACTTTAATTGCTGGATGTTTGGCAGCTTCTTTCTTTCAAAGATCTCAAATCAATGACTTCCTCTCCCAGCTCAGAGCCCCGTCACCTTTCACCCCCGCTCCAACTTCCACCGTACTTTCCACTGTGGGAAAATTTGCGTAAAGAAAATAGGTGTGTTTTCCAAAAAATGTCACGGGTTTCCCTCTCCGACACAGTTCAGGAGGATAAAGTTCATCACGAGACATCTGGAGTTTACATGTTTACATGTATGTATTAAATGAAAACATGGGAACCTTCACGGCCCGAAACACAAAACAAACAAACATCCAGCTCAGGCCTTGTTGGTTCTGGAGAGGGTCCAAAAGGATGAAGGTGTGTTTGTGTCCGTTCAGAAACAACACCCAGGAGGTTGGCAGGGCATGTTGGAGCGACTGTTTTTGGGAACCCGGCCAGACACAAACAGGACCGGCCCGGTCCGCTCCACAACAGGAAGTGAAGACGTTGGAGTGTTTGGGAATGCGCCTCGTTAAGCTGCACCACGTCATCCGAGATTTAATAAAACATTAATTAATGAGGAGCAGCTCTGTTCATTGAATTATTTTAGTATTTATCTTTTTTTAAAGTTTCATCAAAAAATCTTACACAATAAACAACACTTATAGTATGTGTTGTAAATAACTCTCGGCTACTACCACACCAAATTATAACTCAACATATGACAAACTGAATACGTTGTAGCCATTTTTGTGTTTTATATATTCTGTTGGCTGTGGCGGCCATCTTGAATTGGATAAGATCTGAAAGTTAATCAGTTGTAGAGGTACATCCAGAAATTACTTCCTGAAAGTTTCAGTAAAATCTGACCAGTGTTTCATGAGATATTTTGCTAACAGACTCACAAACACGTGTAAAAATATTGTCAGCCTTTTGGTAATACATACATGTAATGAAAAAACAACCAGTCAATGTTTATGTCTGAAGCTCCAACATTCTAAAAGAATCGTTTAAAATATGATGCTTTTATTTTGAAATTAAAACCTAAAAACATTCTTTCACAAATGATTGATTATACCTCAGCAGAACCTAGAATAAAAAAAATGTCTGATTGATTGTCGGTGTTCTTTCTCTTTGCCCAACAGGAAAAGTTCTGCATTGTTTTGGTTCTGAAGTGATCCGTCAAGGACGAGGAGCGGAACCAACATGGAGCAGGAGGAAAAGAAGAGATGTGGAAAGAATTTGTTTTTAATGACTCCAGCAAGTCATTGAGTCATTGAGTCAGTGAGTCAGTGAGTCATTGAGTCAGTGAGTCATCGACTTCAGAGAGAAGAAGAAGAAGAAGAAGGGAGGAAGAATGGATGAAAATGTTGTAAAGAAAATGAGAAGGTAATTATCTTTTAATTAAATTATCATCATTGAAGAAATGCATATCATCAGTCCAAACATTACTGCACCTGAAAACAGAACACTGGCTAAAAAACTAACAAAAAAGTAGAACACTAGCTAAGACCTAAAAGAAGCAAGCTGCTTGTGAATAAAACAAAGCTAGTAAGATGTTAGCTAAAACTAAAATTAACAAAACACAAGCTACAATTAGCTAAAACACGTTAAAAACTAAAAAAAAAAAAAAAACTTTATGCAAAATAAATGCAAAAGCTAAAATTAGCACAGGGCTAACAGAAAGTATCTACAGGCTAGCTTAAGGCTAAAAATAGCAAAAAGAAAAAGATAGCTTGAGAGTAAAAGTAGCAAAAATAAAGCTGAAAGTAACTAAATGCTAAAAGGACCAAGAGACTAATTAAAAGATAAAAGAGGTTGAACACTACCTAAGTAAAAAGGTGAAAAAAATAGGTAATGAATAGTAAAATGTTAGATAAATAAAAAAAGAGAACATAAGGTAATTTACCAAAGCTAGGTAGAAGCCTAAAAGAGCAAAAGGCAAATTAAAAAGATAACTTGAAAGTAAAAGTCACAAAAAGCAAGTAACTTTTTAAATTAAAAGCCAAAAGCATCAAAGGGCATGTGAAAAGCTAACAGCAGCAAAACACTAGCTGAAAGCTAAAAGTAAAAATATGTCAATTGTTAAAACTAAAAAGAACAAAATGCTTGGGAACATTAGCAAAGTTAGGTAGTAGGTAAAGATAGCAAAAAGGCTAGCTAAACGGTTAACTTTAAATATTAAATTCAAAATGTCAAAATACTAGCTTCAAGCTCAATGTGACAAGCAAAATTTATAGAAAGGCTGGCTAAAAGCTAAAGAAGCTAAAAGCAAGCTAAAGTCTAATAGCATATCTGTAGCTAAAAGCTAAAACATGCAAACTGCTAGCTAAGAGCCAAAAAAAATCAGAAAGCAAACATGCAAAAAGAAATGAAACGCTAGTTAAAAGCCAAAAGTAGCAGCAGATTAACTAAAAGCTAAAAAGCTTAAGGAAACAAAAACAGATTTCAAATCAATTATTTTGACAGAATTAAAGAAACCATGTTTTATCATGAATAAAAATGTTCAGAATTTTTTTAAAGTATAAAATTACAAAAAACAAAAGTCAGCATTTATACTTTTTAATCCAAATTCTAAGGCTGACTCAGCATTTATACATTATTATTATTACATCATACACTCTGCATACTGCTGTCATATTGTTTTTTTGTGAATAACACTGTAAAGCACATCACACAGATATATCATGGTATAGTGAAGTATAATGTGTATCTTTCTGTATACTGTGTACTATGTGTAAATTATATGTAAAGTATCTGTATCTATAGTGTTAAAACTAGAGAGACACGAACAGCCGGAAACAAATTCCTCGTGTGTGTCAACATACGGCCAATAAACCTGATTCTGATTAATTAAAATTCCTATGCTGATTCAGCATTTATGTGTTATAATGAAAACTCTAAGGCTGACTCAGCATTTATACACTGCCTGGCCAAAGCCGGGTCCACCTGGATGTAACTAATGTCCATGATGTGAGGTCGCTGCAGGTGGTTCAGCAACAGTGTGTGCTGAAAGAATGAGGTCAGCTAACCTGAATATACTGAATGAGCAGGTTATTCCATCAATGGTTGTTTCATCTCTGATGACACGGCAAGATGACAATGCCAGGATTCATGGGGCTCTTATTGTGAAAGAGTGGTTCAGGGAGCATGAGACATTATTTTCATACATGGATCAGCTCCACAGAGTCCACTGAGAGTCTTTAGGATGTGCTGGAGAAGGTCAGACTCGACCATCATCAATGAAAGATCTTGATGAAAAATGAATGCAACACTGGATGAAATAAATCTTATGATATTATATCCAAACAACGCCACAGACTGTGTGCCGTAATCAAAGCTAAAGGTGAAATATTAGAGTGTGTGACCTCTTTTTCAGCCAGGCAGTGTGTATTAGAATACAAACTCTAACATATTCTAATAAGCCTGACTCATCTTTAGCTCTGTGCTGAACAGAACGACCTGTGACGTCAGAAATCAGTGATTTATAAAAGGTTCTGCGTGTTTCTGCGTCCTTCATCGGTTCTGGAGAGCAAACTGACGTCAGATTGTTGGTATGTTTCTGCTCAACGTGTGACTGCAGCCTTTGTGTGTTTCTGTACATCTGCAGCACAATTCAGTCTCTGTGGTTTATTTACAGTAAAACTGTGATTTCAGTCAGAACACACACACATACCAGCCGCAGAAACAAACGTATTTATCTGTAAATTACACAGTTTGAATTTGTCTTTTGTTGTGGAGCAGATTAATATTTTCAGTTAGGAGTAGAAATCCAAAACTTTAAAATCATTTTCTGATTATTATTTTCTGTTTTTCTCAGTCAGTTTGTGGGAACTTCATGAAGTAGACGCTCCCAGAACAACAAAACAGAAACAACCAGGCAGGAAGAGACAAAACATGAGCCGAGAGCGACGTTAGCTCTTCGGCTGTTGGTGTGTTCAGAACTCACCAGCACCTCCACCGGAGCAGAACCTGCTCTGCAGGAACCGACCCGTCACTCCTCAAATCCCAGCTGAAGTCCTCCTTCCTCTAAGAGGATCAGCTTGTCTATAAATAAACACCACAGGTAGATTCCCCGAACACACCTGAGCTGAAATCACCTTTCTGTTAAAACACTTAAATTGTATCACAGCTAAAACAAGAACAAAATTAAATGTAGCTAAACAGTAGCTAAAAGATACAATTAGCAAAACAGAAGCTAAAAATAAGATTTGAGAAGAAAGTGGAAAAAGCAATGTAACAAAACTGTAGCTTGAAGAAAAGAAAGCAAAAAATAGCTCAATTGTAGCTAAAACTTAACTGTAACAAAATAATTTAAAGATAAAATTTGCAAAATAGTAGTCAATTTAATAAAACAGTCCCTAAAATATGCAAAAGTATAGCTAAAAGCTAAAATATAACGAAACAGTAGCTAATATTAGATTAGCATACACATATTTAAAGCTAAAATTTGGAAGACAGCAGCTAAAAGGTAAAAATAATTAACAAAACTATACCTAAAAACTAAAATTTGCAAAAGCTAAGAAATAAGATTTACTTGACAGTGAAAAAAGGCTAAAATTACCAAAACTGTAGCTTGAGGCAACAAAAGAAAAAAATAGTTAAACTGTAGCTAAAAGCTAAATGTAGCACATTTAAATCAAAAGCTAGAATTTGCTTAACAGTAGCTAAAAGCCAATACAATCAAAATATTCACTAAAGACAAGAATATAACTAAAAGGTAAATCAGTAGCTAAAAACAGATTAGCAAAACCGTAAAGCTAAATATGAAAGACTGTAGCTAAAAGCTACAATTAGCAATAACTAGAAAATAAAATTAACAAAACAGAAACTAAGAGATAAGATTGACATATTGAAATTTGCAAATCAGTAGCCGAAAGCTAATAAAATCCAAACAGCCACTAAAAGTTAAAACATGCGAAAATATAGCTAAAAGTTCATATAATCAAAACATTTGCTAAAGGTACAAAAATAGCTAAAAGCTAATATAGTAGCCAATTATAGCTTAGCAAAATCATATTTAAAGCTAAAATTTGGAAGACAGCAGCTAAAAGATAAAAAGAATTAACAAAACTACATTGAAAAACTAAAATTAGCAAAACAGAAGCTAAGAAATAAGATTTACTTGACAGTTAAAAAGGCTAAAAGTAGCAAAACTAGCTTGAAGCAACAAAAGCAAAAATTAAATTGTAGCTAAAACCTAAATGTAGAAAAATCAAATCAAAAGCTAAAATTTGTTAAACAGTAGCTAAAATCCAATATAATAAGAAAATTCACAAGACACAAGAATATAGCTAAAAGGTAAACCAGTAGCTAATAACAGATTAACAAAACCATATTTAAAGCTAAAATTCAAGACTGTAGTTAAAAGCTACAAGCAATAACTAGAAAATAAAATTAGCAAAATAGAAGCTACGAGATAAGATTGACGTATTAAAATTTTCAAATCAGTAGCTGAAAGCTAATAAAATTCAAACAGCCACTAAAAGTTAAACCATGCGAAAATACAGCTAAAAGCTAATATAGTAGCCAATAATAGTGTAGCAAAATCATAAAGTTAAAATTTGGAAGACAGTAGCTAAAAGCTAAAAATAGCCCAGAAGACACAAATAGATGTAGTTTGCTGAAGTAGATTTTTAAGAAGATTAATGTTTTTAAAGGAATAAACTCATTTTATAATCTTGAGGATTTTTCGTGAGAAGAAACTAAATCCTTGAATGCTGACTCAGCAAAATAACATTTGCAGCACATGGAATGATAAACAGCAGATGCACTGAAGGTCAAAAGCTATAATTTACATTTAACCGAGTGTGTGTGTGTGTGTTGTGTGTGTGTGTGTGAGATGGGAAGCCTTTGAGGTACAGGATGGAGCCAGTGTTGCAGGATGGGAGGGAAACAGGAAGTGAGTCATCACAGGATCACAGTGAACCAGGAAACGAGCTGCTGAGGGGCTGATCTGAATCAATACGGGCCGAGCCCAGAACCAGAACACCTCAGATCACTCATCCTAAAAAAGAAAATATATATATATTTTACATTAGTTTCTGAATTAGCATTACAATTCGTTTGAAAAAGTTTAGATATTTGGAGCTGCAGCACGACATCGAATGTCAGGAATCTGTAAAAATCATAAAACTTAAACAGTAACTGTAAAACCTGAACGAGGTGTTAAACTGTCAGTTCAGTCATGTAGTCAAATGATCTGCGACGTTTCTCTGCACACTATTTACAATAATGTATTTTGATGCAACATAAAACTAAAAACAGATAAAACTTTACAAAGACTGTGATGACAGACAGAAGCCAAAACTCAGGTTTTTCTAGATTACTCATTTTATTGTAAAAAATAGTTCAACTAAGATTGTTTTTTTTATATTAAATGCAGGAATTTTTTTAAGCAAACAGAAAAGGGTCAATTATAGTTTTACATGGTTGATCAACGTGTCAACTTTATTTAAATAGGTACAACCTCACCTATAGTGTACAGTTAGAAAACTCCCAACATTTTTACTGCTCGACTTTACAAAATAAAAAGTTGCAAAATAATAAGACCATGTCTAATTTTTGTGGATAATAAGTGGAGCTTATTTGGATTCTGTTGGTTGAAATCAGTGTTGATGCACAAAACAAACTTCTCAGCCCGCTTAGGTCGACTGAGTTGGGGGAGAAAAATAACTCATTGTGATTCGGGTCAAGAAGGGAGTGATTACCCAGGAATAGAACAAAAAATAAAATAAAATAAATTAAAATGATCAACATTTATACACAATCCTGAGAGCTTCACTTAGACCTCAGTTACAGATTCTCTAATGGGAATTAAAAAAAAAGGCGCTTCCTGCTCAGAGAAAAACTGAAACAATCTCCCAGACTGACAACAAACCAAACGCTTGATTGTGATGATCTGTGGGATTATTTCTCTTAAATTACAATCCTAATCAGAATATGTTTGAATTAAAGTTTCACTGCTTTGTCATTTCTATAGAAAACACCCACAAAGACTCAGACACGGGTTTAAACGAAGCCAAAAGTTGTGAAAATGTGAGAAAACAGAGCGTAATGTAGTGGTTACTGAAAGGTCCTGGATGGGAGGTAAAAAAAACTGAAAGAAAAGTAAAAATAATAATAATAAACTTCACGGAACAAAGTTAACAGTGCGAAGAAAGGAGTATAAAATAAATACTAAAAAAACAAACACATAACAGATTTAATGAATATTTACTTTTTGCATGTTTCTGTTTTTGCAGAAGAAGTGAAGATGAAGTAATTTATTTCTGCAGGGATTAGAGTCGTTAAAAAAAGAGCAATAGAGGCAGTTTTAGGTTAGATGTGAAACCCCCACCCCACCCCAACAAACACAAACAACCAAACAGTTTAAAGGTAAAATAATTTACAAAATATACTTAACTGAGGAAATAAAAAAAGACTGAAAGAAAATGTGAGGCTAAAAGACTCGTTTTTTTACGTTCTTCTGTCTCTGACAAGAGAAAATATCTTTTTATACATCAATACATTTGTTTAAAATATAAATCTAAATTTAAACGTTTCTCATTACAAGAGTCTCTCGGATAATCTCAGTCCACTGTGTGTGTGTGTGTGTGTGTGTGTGTGTGTGTGTTGATAATTTGACCACATCAGTTTGTTTACAGGCAGCTGATGGAGTGCACTCTCTGATTTGTTTTTTGTTTTTCAGTGCCCATAAATCTAATAAGATCCGTTTGGACCAGCTCTGGTTCTGGGACTCTGGTTCTGGGTGGGGTCACTGGCAGAACGGTGAGGCTGTGGGGTCGAAGCCTTTGAAAACGTCCTTCAGTGAGGCGTTGTCCTGCTCGGTGGCTGCCGGGTCGGTCTGGGCCGGGCTGCTCCCCCCGAAGGGGCTGCTGGTCCCGCCCGGTTTGGCGGCCTGTTTGACGACACCGAACAGCGTGGACACAGGCAGGTTGTGGACTCCTGCGGGTCCTGGATCTGCAGCAGCGGCTCCTGGAGTGCTCTGTCCTGCGGGGGGTCCTGCCTGGGCCGTGGCCTTGGGCGAGGGGGCGGGCTTCGGCCGCGGCCTGTTGTAGCTGTTGTAGCGGTCGGTGCCTTGCTCGCCGCTTTTCTCTGGCTCCGGTTGGTCCAACGCAGACTTCCGGACAAACAGGGGCTCCTTGGACTTGGGTTTGACCGCTGAGGGGTCTGCAGGTTTGGGGTCTGAGCCGGCCGAGGTGGGGGAGCCGCTGCTGGAGCCGGGGCTTCCTGGTTTGTTAGTCCTGGGGTCGTACAGGCTGATGCTGCTCAGCACACTGGCTCCCCCTGGTGTCCCCGCGCCCACACTGCGCCCAGCTCCTCCTGAGGACAGCAGCCGTGGGTCGTAGGGGGCGATGGTGGGAGGGGAGGAGCCCCCCGATGTTGCAGGAGGTGCAGCGGGAACGGGAGGCACGGGTTCTGATGGCTGCTTCAAGGCGGACTTCTGCGGCTGGAGGCGGGAATCAGGTGGGACTTTACGAGCTACACGGGGGTCCACGGGTTTTTCTGCAGCTGAGGTCGTGGCGGGGGGAGGCTGAGCCAGCAGTGATGGAGGCGCAGCAGGAGTGGGCAGGTGTGGGGGTGACGGAGTCTGAGACGGGCTGGAGGTAACGGTTTTTAAGATGCGAGACAGAAGCTCAAAGTCTGGGAGAGAAGAAGAGGACGACACAGGAGGGTCCGCTGAGGGAGGGGGCTGTAGGGGCGGGGACTGGGAAGTGTGGACCTGCTGCTGAGCTCTGGACAGACGGGGGTCCAGAGAGGAAACAGGGGGGATGCCTGGTGGGAGCGGGAGTAGGTCCTGTTTGGGAACTGGGAGTGGAAGGAGGTCTTCTGGGGACCAGGTGATGGTTTTAGAGAAAGCTGGCGTGTGGAGGATGATGTCCTTCTTGATGTGGCTGAACTGCTGCAGCTGGGACCGGGGATCCCTCAGAGTCATCCCCATGAGCGGGTCCAGAGGAATGGGCACGGGCTTGTCCCTCAGAACCCGCTCCGTCTCCTCCTCCTCCGCTGCCGGCGCTGTGAGAGGAGGCGGCTTGTAGATCTGAGGAGGTTCTGGCTTTGCAGCAGGAGGTGAATGTGAGCTGGATCCTGACGAAGCAGCCAGTCTGGCCAGTCTCGGGTCCGCAGGGGGTCCGGAGGGAGGCGGACCCGAGTCCAGGTGTTGAGCCGAGTCGGTGGCACGGGCCAGACGAGGGTCTCGAGCCAGTCGGGGGTCTGCTGGGCGAGCGGGGACAGCTTTCTGCAGCCGGGGGTCACTCGGGTGGACGTCAGGTTTGTGAGGAGCCTGAGTCTGCTGACGGAGCGTCTTCAAGATGGACGTGACGCTGCCGCCACCATCCTCATCCTCACTGGAGTACCAGTTTCCTGAATCCCCTAGAGCAGGAACAAACACAGATACTCATTTAGTCTCTGCTTTAAAAATAAAAATAATAATAACAGGGTTCCTACAGTTTAAGGTTAGTTAAATTTAAGACTTTTAAATGCCAACTGAAATTAAATTTAAGACCAATTTCACAATAAATCCAAATGACAAAACAATAATAACGGTGGCAGAAACTCATGAATCAAAGTATTTTTGGTTGAAGTAATATTGCTAATAGACCAATTGTTTTTATCCAGATCTAACTATAGCAGAAATATTTTAGCAGTCAGTTTAACGACCCAAAATTTGGAGTCTTAGGACCCACAGTGGGGTCTTAATCCCAATTCGCTGTAGATGAAAAATTAAAGTTTCTGTGACATCAATCTTTTGTAAGAAAGGTGAATGCATTTTTGGAAAAATAACATTATTAACATACTAAAATACAAATTTCACATTGCTCAGATGAACAGTTGTTGAGATATCTGCATGTGAAATAACAGGAAGTGATGTCAAAGGGGAATGTCTGCATGTGAGTATTAAAAAAAAAAACAATTTTTACCAATTATTTTAATATTTGAGGTGAATTACTATCATCCTATTTACAATGTGTTCACATTTTTAAGACTTCTGAAAGATTGATTTAAGACATTTTAAGGCTAATTAAGGCCTTATTTTTGGATTGATGAATTCAATGACTTTTAAGACTTTTCAAGGATCTACAGGAACCCTGTATAAATAAATAAAGAGTGAAGTCTTTTACCTTCAACATCTTTATTCTTGTCTGCTCCTCCCTCTGTCATCCTGCGAGCTCGCTCCTCTTCCTCCTGCTGCTTCTGCTGGATCCTCATGAACAGGACCCGCTGAGCCGGAGGCAGGAAGTCAGGGACAGAGATCCCTCCCTGATTGGCCGAGGATCCATTCGTCGAGGCTTCCTGGCCGCCCGAATGATTATTAAACTCCCCCGGTGCTCCCCGGTCGTCCGTGAAATCCTGGAAGCTGTCTCCTGAGAGAAAGCAGGAAGTACTCGTGAGTTTCAAAATAAAAGCTTTGATGCAATCTCCTAAATGGTTAAATGGTTCTCACCTTCTGTCACCACCCCCTCCATGCCGTCCTGCTGATTGAAGAAGTTATTGAAGAAGTTTCCTCCCCCCTGAGGTGGACCATCAGGAGGAAATCCTCCCATCATGGGTGGTCCACAGGGTCCCATGTTAGGAGGAGCCTGGTCAGGGGACGCCATGCCCGGAGGGGCAGGGAAGCGGGGTGGGGCAGAACCGGGGGGTCCTTGTGGTCCAGGAGGTGCGGTTTGAGCCTGGCCTCCACTGGGGGTCTGGCTTCTGACACAAAACAGTAAATTAACTTCTGAACGCAGCCTAGTTTCTCACTTTCTGTTTTCTTTTATTGGTTTTTGTAAAATGAAGATTATTTTTTTGAGTTTATTTGAGAAAAAGGAGCAGATATAATAAGATGTTTTCTTTTTCTGCTACCTTCCATTTAATTTATGATTTGTATTTTTGTTGTTTGTTGAATTTATGTTGTTTTTAAAGAAATGAATAAACTTAAACATTTCACACACTGAATAAAACAGATTTTAACTTCCTACCTGACGGCCAGTTTCTGAGCCAGCTGTCCGGTCGGCTGGACTTTAATCTCAAACAACGAGGGGATCTTCTTGCCCCCGCAGCTCCCCGCTCCTCCCCCTGCAGGTGGGGGAACCATGTGGGGAGGAGGGCCGCTGGGATTTGGGGGTGGCCCACCTTGGAAGGGACTTCCATCCGGACCGAGGACAGGAGGACCAGCGCAGGGGTTAGGCCCGGAGACAGGAGGTGGGACTGGTGGACCTTTGCTCGCAATGGGACCCTGGTTAGGTACAGGATGACCCCCAAAGTCACCTGGTGTAGGCCCACCATAATCCCCCGTGTTGGTGTCCATGGAGATGGGCCGAGGAGGAGTAGGGAGGAGGCCAACTCCTGGAGGAGGTTTAGGAAGAGGGTTGATCCCCTGCTTCTTCAGCTCCTCCACCTCCTTCTCATCCTCAGCTCCTGCTTCTGCATCTTCTGCAAGCATCTGCAAAACAAACAAACAAACACGTCCACTAAGAACCTCAAAACTGCAAAAACGTCAATTTTCAGGGTTTCAGTCTCCTAAAACAAGAGTCTGAAACCTGTGGCTCTGGGGCCACATGCAGATCTTTGATCCGTCTGCAGCAGATCTTTGATCCGTCTGCAGCAGATCTTTGATCCGTCTACAGCAGATCTTTGATCCGTCTGCAGCAGATCTTTGATCCGTCTGCAGCAGATCTTTGATCCGTCTGCAGCAGATCTTTGATCCGTCTGCAGCAGATCTTTGATCCGTCTGCAGCAGATCTTTGATCCATCTGCAGCAGATCTTTGAAGCTTTGATCAAAACTAACAGAAGATTACATTATTTAAGGCTAACTTAAGCAGTTTTCTTTGTGCTCAATAATACAAAAATCCCTCTAGTATCCACTTCAATAATCCAACTCTTCCAGCCTTAAAGTAGGATCTTTCTCTCAAATTTATCAGGGTTACCTTTAAAGACCTTTAGGACTAGACTGGATAATAAGAATTTATATATAAATATTCCTACAGAGTTTAGTTGTAATTTTTATTGAATTATATACAGTATTCTTCTTCTTTACAGTCCGGAAAGACTCCATTCAACAAACTGGAAATGGCCCACGGGCCTCCACTTGATAAATACAGTTATAACATGTTTTGCAGCTTCGGACACGTTTTAATAGTGAGCCGAGGAGCAAAAATGGCTTGTTTGATTGTAAAGTTTGCAGACCCTTGTCATAAAAGAAAATGAGACAATCAGAGGTTCCCACCTTGTTGAGCAGCTCCTGGGTGTCGTCGTTCAGGGATTCGTGGGAGAACATGCACTCGTCTCCGTTCACACAGTTCCCTGTGGTGTGGAACAACTTACAGGGAAATTCACGTAACAAGAGAGTCAAGGAGGAACAAAATATCTTAACTTATGTCATTTTGATGAATAATACTTCAGACACGGTTAAAGCAGAAGATCTTGGTCATGTGGGCAGCAGTAAAGGATATCATGCATGTAGGGACAGTGGTCAGCTCGGGCACAGAAGCCAGTGATGTAGAATTTACACAGCTCCTTCTTCTTTGGCAGCTCGATGTCGTGGCTGAAGTTACAGTGGTCCCCCTGGTGGATGGAAACAGATGAGCGTTTGGAAAATAAGGGAAGTCTAAAAAACTGTTTTATTTAACAAGAGAATGTGCAATTTCCTGTGAAAATACTTTGTGAATGATTATTGCTGAAAGCTGCTGAAGTCGAGCTGAAAATGTTTAAACTCTTAAACAGCTGACTTTTGCTGAGAGTAGGAAAATAAGTGAAAAATCAGTAGTAAAATAGCAAAATGTGTTGAAGGAAACAGAAATGTAGCTAAAATCAGCAGAATATAGCTTTAAAAAAGTAGCTTAAAAAGGAGAAAAAAGTTGAAAAAAGTAAGAAGCAAAAAAGGTAAATCTAAGAACAAAATATTAATAAAATAATAATAATTAGAAATGTATTCATTTCATTTGTAACACTTATGACAAAGAACAGAAAACATGCAATCAAAATAAATTTAGACGAAAGAAAGTAAACATTTTATTTTGTGACCTTGAAATTATTGAAAGAGCATGTTTGCTGAGTTAAGCAGAAAAAAGCTCAAATTAGCTGAAAAGTAAAACAGCTGAAATTAGCAAAAAGAAACCGAAGGAGCACGAGCTGAATTAAGCCAAAAAATACTGAAGAGAGAGCAGCAGAAAAGAACAGTAAACAATAAAAAACAGCAGAAAGAAGATGAAATTAACAGAGAAATGTAAAAACAATCACTAAATCAAAGCTGATTTTAGCAAAAAGGTGAAAAATAGCTAAGAAAAATGATGAAAACTGTCAAAATGAGAGAAAAAAAACTGTTAAGTAAAAAAAACAACCAAGGTGTAAAGTTCAGTAAATATTTATGAACGTTTTAAAGGTTTTAAGGATCTTGAAGACGGCTCCACTCATTTTCATTGAGAAAAAAATGGCAGAAAAAGCTAAAAAAGTATAAATTGCTGAAATACTAAACATCACAGCTGAAATGTCCAGAAGGAGCTGAACATTTTAATAAATAAATTGTTGAACTGGCACAATAATTGCAGAATGAGATACATGCTGAGAAACATACGGAAGAAGAAAAAAAACAAGATAATCCTTTTTCCTCCTGGTCAGCCCTACCGAAAGTGTTAAAAGTCATTAAACTTCAAGTGTAACTTCTATGAAATAAACTCTTACCCAGGTGCATCGACCCTCGATGTAGTACTTGCAGATGGCCTTTCCTTTCTTATCCTGGTGTTTGTCATTATGATGCCTCCTCCCCGGTCCTGGACCGTCACCATCCTGAACCACAGAAACCGATGACGACAGGTTAACGGAGACGATTGACCCGGTTTGTTCCGGTGTAGCTGCACCTCTTTCTGTTTTACCCCGTTGTCCATGTCTCCGTTGTTCTCGTCGTCGTTCCCCGTGTCGCCTCTTCCTCGCCCTCTGTTGCGACCTTTTCCTCCTCGGAGCATCCCCCGCCCTCCTTTGCCTCGTCCTCGACCGCGGCCTCCTTTACCTCCTGGGTGGGTGGGTGAGTGGGGGGGGGGGGGTAGTTAAGTGGGTGTGAGACACATTTTGTTGGTGTTGTGTTTCGGATGAGTAAAGAAACACAAACCTCTGCCTCTGGACTTTTTGTATTGATTCAGTTCTTTGGAGTAGTCGTCGTAGTCATCACCCCCCATGTTTTCATAATCATCGTCTCCATACTGTAACGAGCGGGAAAAAAACTTTTACTCGCCTTAATCAACAGTTGTGTATTTACACTAAATTCAGTTTGAGTGGAAAATCTGATCACAACAACAGAGTTTCTGCAGACTCAGCACCATGGTGGAGGATCAACAAAGTGAGGCAAACATAAGAATGCTTCTACGTGTCTGAGAGCCTCACCTCCATCTCATCTCCGTAGCCGTCTCCATCGTCGTCTCCTCCCATTCTTCCTCTCCCCCCTCGCCCTCTGCTCCCTCCTCTTCCTCTCCTCCCTCCCCTCATTCCTCCGTGGCCTCTCATGTTCCTCATTCGACCTCTGCCCCCTGAGGAGACACAAAGACACCAATGAAACAGGAGCAGACTGAGAAGTTAGGGCTGCTTGATTAGTCACGATTATGGCAACTATTAAAATCGTCAACAACTAATTTATTAGTCGATGTGTCGTTTTTTTTCTAACTTAGCTGACTATAAAAACAATCATTTGTGGCAGCCCTAATTAGCACTACTGCGCTTGTGTGTCAAGGATGCAGCAGTTTGGAGAGAAAAACAAAGATAGAAAAAAAAAACGACGCATCATCTTTTTAATTAGTTGACCATCGTGGCAGCCCTACTGAGAAGGAACTTAAATCAGAATCTTTGCTAGGTGGTCTAAGGTCTGTGGAGGTGGCTGACAGGTGAGGGGTCTTTTAGTATTTTAACAGGGTTCCTACAAGCTTAAGGCTAATTTAATTTTAAGACTATTTAAGACTTTTAAATGCTACTTTAAATTAAATTTAATACCAACTTATAAACATAAATGGGAAAAAAAACAGCGACAATTTAGTTATGGGTACTGGGGATGGATAAAGAACTCATTGCTCCCCAAAAAAACTGGTGTCCCACCTTTTCAAACCTTCGTGTCCCACGGATAAATGAATAAATGTTACCAATTATTTTAATATTTGACATGAATTACAGTCATCTTACTTACAATGTGTTAACATTTTTAAGACGTCTAAAAATTTATTTGACATTTTAAGGCTAATTAAGGCCTTATTTTTGGATCGATGAATTCAATGTGTTTTAAGACATTTTAAGGATCCACAGGAACCCTGTTTAAAGGAAAAAATAAATGTTTTTCTGCTTAAAATGGACCCACCTCGCCCACCGCGGCCCCCCTCCTTGGCCTTGCGGTACTGGTTAAGCTCCTTTGCGAAGTCGTCGTAATCTTCATCCACCACGTCCTCCTCTTCCTCTCCCTCGTAGTTGTCTTCGTCGTAGTCGTCGTAGCCTCCGTAACTCTGTTTGTCCACCTTCATGTAGCCGCCTTTCTTCGAGCCGCCGTAGCCCCCATGAGACTTCAGACAAAAACAGAATCAGAGCGATTATTTCATGGTTTCAGGGCAGCAGTTTGGTTTTCCTGTCAGTAAACATTAGTTTGACTCACAGAGGGGCCGTACTGATCACCGTAGTCTCGGTATTTTCTCTTCTCACTGGGACTGTAGTCCGAGTCGTCGCTGAAGTCTGAGTGGTCATCATCAGAAGAGGCGTGTCTCTGTAACAAAAATATAAAAAAAACAGTCACAAAAGTCACTTCTTCAGGTAAAGAGCTGAATTTTGTATTTTAAGCTCAATATTCTTACTTTATGTTTTGATTTGCGTTTCTTCTTGGACCTCCTCTTTTCTCTTTCCCGCTCCTTTTCTTTCTTCCTCTTCCTCTTGCGGCGGTGGGACCTCTCATCGTCGGTGTCACTGCTGCCGTGGCGCTCCTTGCTCCGCCGAGGCCTCTCCGTTGTCCTCTGTCCTCCTGCTTCACCTCCTCCTCCTCCTCCTCCACCCGCATCATCACAGCCTTCTCCACCTTGTCCCACCGCTGCACCTGCCCCCACCTCCTCCTCCTCCATGTCTCCTGCATCATCTTCCAGCTCGCCCTCCTCCAACTCCTCATCTTCTGGCCTGTTTGTAAAAACACATAAAAACAGTTATAGCGAGTTATTCTCTGTCAGTTTATAGGGGATAAGTGTAAAGGAAAACTTAAAGTAATTATAATGATTACTGAAAAGAAAAAACACCTAAATTAACAGCAATTTGTGAATCGTTAATGTTGAAACACGAGTTCCAAATAATTCATCAGGTCATATTTGTTCTTTTTAACTCTTTAGACATAAGCAACAAGTTTTTTGTAGGGAAATAAACTAATCTTGACTAATTTTTTGCACGTATAAAACATTTTGTGTCACAAACAACGTTTTCCCACAGCATCTCTTTACACTCTTGCACACCTGCCCAGATTTGTCTCCTTAAAAAGCTGGAGATAGAAATGACTAAAACTTTAAAATCAGCCACAAGGAACATGAAAAAAATGATTTTCTTCAACTATTCTTTACAATCCTGGGTTAAATGTGATAAATGTCAGAAATCCTGACAAAAAATGTCAACATAACTCTGCTGATTTTTCTTATTTATTACAAATTATGCAACACTTTTATAAATGATAGGTATTTGCATACTGTAACTGTTATTGCTTTTAGTTTCAACCTGTCTTTATATCTAATTACTCAACAAATGAGTGTAAATATGTACAAATATATCAAATTTTGGGCTGCCACGACTAGTCGACTATAAAAACAATCGCCCTAATTAGCACTACTGCGCATGTGTGTGTCAGCAGTGGAAGGTGCTGCAGGAGTTTGGGAGAGAAAAACAAAAAAATGACGCATCAACTATTAAATTATCAGTGTTTTTAGTAGACAATAATCAATCAGACTTCTCCATTTCAAACAGCTCTTCTATAAAAATCCATAGGTAAACAAACACGTGGTATTCTGCAGCTGGTCATAATTTTGCTTACAAATTTACAATTTAAGGACATCAAATTAATCAGATTTTTTTCTTTGTCTTCGTGACTTTTTAACCGGTGCCTTTAGGTGAACATATGAGAGGGTCAGGTGCTCCGGTTCTAACATTTACTGATGTGGCGTTACTGTGACCACTAGCTGGGATTATTCCAACGGTTTAATCCACCTTCTGAACCACAATCAACCTGATGTTTGGACATGATTTAATGCAAACACTAAGACAACAATAAAGAGTATGAATCAGTGGCTAACACAGAAACCCCAACAAAAGCCAACACCCAAATAAGGCTAAAGGTACGATGTGCAGCGAGCTGAGGCCTAAAGGCTGGGATGGTGTGAAAGGAACTCTTCCTGCGCTCCGACAAGATCTGACAACTCACAAACAGGTTTAGTCCTCCTGAAAGCCAGACTGAGGCCAGACTCAGCAGGTGGTGGAGGGGGGGTCACGCTCGACCTGCTTTGAGGTAAAACGCCAGCAGCAACACAACCACATGTCTGCATCACAACAGTCTGAGTCACATGGACAGCGACTCTTTACTGCTTGGATCGTACATTTTAAACTAATACGCTTAACTTTTTGTGTTCTCTGGATGAAAATACACACTTTTCACTTTTAATGGTAGCCATGAAGACTGGACAAAAACAAAGAATTAGCACAACATTGTTCCTCATATCAATGTGTGTTGATTTTGTTGTGACTGGATGCCAACTATCGTGTATTACTCACAGCCAAAGTGACTGAACATAAGTCAATATTAAGCTAAGTAGGTCAGGTATGTGATTCAAGCGTTTGTTTTTTGCAGATTCCGCTTTATTTACATTGAGTGCAAACCTGCATTTTAACATACCATCTGGGAAACTACTGGAGTAAACTCTTTCAAACTGCACTGAAGATTTCTTATTTTTTGTTTGATTTCATGGCCTTAAATGTTTCGGTGTATACACACACGCTGCCTGCCTTTCAAACTGACATGTCAGACTAACTTTGCGGAGTTTGTTCTGTTTTACAACAAGTTGCCACGATAACAGAAACAAACATGTCTCTTTCTGGGACAAACCTAAGTCAACAAACAGAACCCAGTCCAGAACAAACACAATCTGACATCATATTTGGGGTTTTTGTACATTTCTGGGGAACACAAGACTATAAAACTTGGTGTTAACTTTCATTTATCTCTTAGTCATTCACAGATATAAGACCATCAGCTCAAGAGCATTGTCTCCTATGTTGGCACAAAGAAATCTCTGTCACGGTGGAGGGTTCGCTGTAACAGCACAGAGATTTGGTTGTATCATATGAGCAGGTCATTGTGACTTGAATTCACCAAGGACAGCTGCTGGTGTCCTCTCTGTCCTGGCAAAATGTTATACACACAAAACCAGCTGCCAACAACTGTACCAGGCTGGAGAACACAAACAAACCAGACATCTCAGTACTTTCCTACCTGTACCTGCAGGCACACATTTTATGAGCTAATACTCTCCATATCTGCCAATACAAAGTATATTATAGAGCTGTAGAGAAGAAAAACTTATTAAGACCTTCTGCACCTGCAATCTATTTAATCTATGACAAGTTTTCATTGCTATTCGTGAAAACTTCACTTAATTGCAAAAAAAAAAATCTATACAGCCTAGTAGAAACCAGCTGATACATTTTCTAAGTTTAGCACATGATTGTTCTGTATTAAAAAGCCACGAACAACTACAGATGATTTCATTAATCCAATAATTACTCCAGCAAAGGGCCAGGATTAAAATGGGGAATACTTACTGTGACAGGTTTCCTTCTTTTACCTCTAACCTAACCTTATGGGGGCTCTAACTTAGTGGGGTCTGTGGGATTTTGGAAGTGGGGCAAAAAGCAAAAAAAACTTTGCAAAATAAATACAATAAAATGGCAACTTTGTGTTTGACTTGAAACACTGTCTGGGATGCTTTGCAGACTTTTTTTTTAAACTGTTTGGGACGAGTCAGTGTGGGAACGGATGTGAATTAAAACTGGGGCAAATTTGATATTTAACACGACCGAAACGCTGATCGATTAAAATAAACATTATGAAAATAAATAATTTATGACGAGCTAGTGAAAAATGTCTACAGGTTTAGAGGAAACTAAAATTAGCTTAAGTCATCGTGCGCACACAAAGTGCGTGATTAAATTAGCGCACAGACGATTAAAGCGCTGATTTTTTAAAAGTGATTAAAAGCCGATACAATACATAAAAGTCGATTTACGATTGAACGCTTTAGTTTGATGCTGACTTAAATCGCAATGGTTTGTAACGCTAACGAAACGCGGATAGCTAACAAAGCTAGCGTGTTAGCCGTTAGCTTCGGTGACACGACCTAGCATGCTAACGTTAGCCTGTAAACAGGCCCACCGAGGCAAAACGGTTGGATTTTTCTCACCTGCAGCAGCAACCGAAATCAAAAACACAAAAATATCGATACTGAAGTGAAAACTGAATTTTAACAACGGGCACAGCTTTTCGATCGGTGTTTTAGAACAGTTAAAACTGTTGAGTAAAAGACACAATGGTGACGTTTCGGACTCGTCTTTTTTTTTTTCCTCCGAAGTTCGCCTCAGTCGATTGATCGATGAATGTTAATGTCATAAAACAAAATAAAAGGGAATAAGAACGTTATTCCAGTTGGTATTAGGCCTTCCAGGTGTCGTTTCAACATGGCCGTTCTCTTTACCTTTCGTTTTCCAGAAAAAGGCGAGTTTAATCCCTTTGACACACAAAAAAAGAAACCCCGGGCTTTTGTGTAAAAGCACAGGACAAATAAATAATTTCATTTAAATGACTGTAGAATTACTCGACCTTTCGTCAGTCAGAAGACTGTTGTGTTCGTGGTTGGTAGTTGGGGAGTTTGGATGGACAGTCATGCTTTCCACAGCCATTTCCCTCTAGCTACATTGAGGTACAAAAAAGTACAACACTGGAGTCTACTGGCTTATGCGTCACTTCACTACAATCTACTTATTTTTTGTTTTAGGAAGAGATTCAGTTCATAGTAGTCAACTCTCCACCACAGTTGTCAGAGAAATATGCTGAAATTGAGTCCTGACGTTCTCCGTCCTATTGTAGCGATGTGAAATGACGACTGACAAACTTAAAATGGCTGACAGTCTTCTCCAAACTGAAAGGGGTGGGCTTTCCGAGAGGCCGAGCATGACGTAGCACCTCACGGAAATTACCGAATTGTACAACTTGTGTGTAAATTAAACCCCGATCTTGACTCGCAGGCGCACTCAACTTCTTAGCGTTAATACTCTGTTTTTAATCAGGTTTACTTTGATTCTTGACAGCCAGGAATAATACTAATTACTAATTATTTATTTTTAAACATCAATATAATTTACTGTGTAATAAGTTTTGAACATTTGGTCAAATTAATCTTCTGTGGAACAATAAAAAGTCCAAGAACAAAAAATAAATAAAAACAAAATACATTTATTATATGTATTCTTTTGCGTATGAAATGTTTGTTTTGTTTTTACTGCTGTTTTAAATGAAGGAGCACAGTACAAATTTTAGACTTTTGTTTTCCATGTAAATAAATAGTATTGTCTTTTACAATCTAGTTTCATTTTATTGTATATTGAATTTGTGTTGTTTTTAAAGAAATTAATCAAATTAAATCTGAATCTGATAATCTAGTTTCTCAACATTTATTTCAGTGAGATGTTTGATTGTGAGTGCACTTTCTACTCATAAGATAACCAAAAAAGTGACTCAATTTTGATGTCAATCTGATAAAATACAGTTTTCTTTCTTTTTATTCACTTTTGACAAAGATAAGTAGTTTTAAACTCATCTTATTCAATGAACAAATTAACACGTCAACCTAACTAGTCAGGTAATTATTATATTTAGTTCTGTAGTTACAAATGACAGGACATGTCAATTTGCTTTTATCTAAATTATTGACTACATAATAATCACACACATACACACACACACATATATAT